CGCTCACTCACCCTCCTCACACGCCCGCTCCCGCTCGCTCACCCTCCTCACACGCCCGCTCCCGCTCGCTCACCCTCCTCACACGCCTGCTCCCGCTCACTCACCCTCCTCACACGCCCACTCACGCTCACTCACCCTCCTCACACACCTGCTCCCGCTCTCACACGCTCACTCACCCTCCTCACACGCCTGCTCCCGCTCTCACACACTCACCCTCCTCACACGCCTGCTCCCACTCTCACACGCTCACTCACCCTCCTCACACGCCTGCTCCCGCTCACTCACCCTCCTCACACGCCTGCTCCCGCTCCTACACGCTCACTCACCCTCCTCACACACCCACTCCCGCTCACTCACCCTCCTCACAGGCCTGCTCCCGCTCTCACACGCTCACTCACCCTCCTCACATACCTGCTCCCGCTCTCACACGCTCACTCACCCTCCTCACACGCCTGCTCCCGCCCTCACACGCTCAGTCACCCTCCTCACACGCCCACTCACGCTCACTCACCCTCCTCACACGCCCACTCACGCTCACTCACCCTCCTCACACGCCCACTCACGCTCACTCACCCTCCTCACACGCCCACTCACGCTCACTCACCCTCCTCACACGCCCACTCACGCTCACTCACCCTCCTCACACGCCCACTCACGCTCACTCACCCTCCTCACACGCCCACTCACGCTCACTCACCCTCCTCACACGCCCACTCACGCTCACTCACCCTCCTCACACGCCCACTCACGCTCACTCACCCTCCTCACACGCCCACTCACGCTCACTCACCCTCCTCACACGCCCACTCACGCTCACTCACCCTCCTCACACGCCCACTCACGCTCACTCACCCTCCTCACACGCCCACTCACGCTCACTCACCCTCCTCACACGCCCACTCACGCTCACTCACCCTCCTCACACGCCCACTCACGCTCACTCACCCTCCTCACACACCCACTCCCACACTCACGCTCTCACACACACACGCCCACTCACTCCCATACACACACACAGACACACTCACACTTTCACAGTCACACACTTACCCACACACCCTCACACACCCTCACACAATCTCACGCACACCCACACCTCAAGCTGCCCTGGGACGGCGCGCAGCCTGCTTTTCCGGGACCCCTAAGGAACCCCAGCCGCCCGCCGTTTCCCTGACAGGGACGGGTGTTGTCCCCTCGGTGGGGGCAGCCCTGTCCTGAAGCCCACAGTTGACTTCCTCCCGTCGAGTTGCCGGGTTTCTCACACTCTTTTCTTTCTTGATCCCAAAAGAAGAGGGAGAGAGAGCGGAAGGTGGGGGCCTCCCCCCCGCCCACGGAGAGTGCTGAGGTAGAAGGCAAATGCCATCTTGATAAACAGTTTGAAAATCCAGAGTGAAGTGCTGTGCCTACCTCTGCGTGGGTTTCTCCCAGGTCCCTTCTGTGGGATGGGAGGGTCGTGCTGGAGCAGAAGCCACACGTGCAGTCAGAGGCGTGTGGGAGGCCCCGGGTGGGGAGCAGGGTGTGAGAGCCTGTGTGCCATCGCCCCTCACCATCTTGGGAAGAACACGCGCTCTTGCCACAGTGCTGGCTCGTGGGCGTCTCCTGACCCCCGGGGATCTGACTGGAGAGCCGCTGAGCCACGGGGGCCTCCCCACCGGACCTGCGCGCTAGAGCCCAGAGTCTGCCTGAGCAATGGATAACTTGGGAGGACGCAGGGGGCCATTTCCCGCAGAGGTCCCCAGCCGGCCCTGGCTCCCTCCTCCTTCGCCTTCGCCACTAAGCCTTCCTGGCCTGCCGTCCAGGTAACTCATGCCAAACCCCAGGGGCACTAGAAGAGCCCAGAGTGCAGCTCCCCCACTAAACCCGTAACTAGAATGGATTTGGGTGGAAGGTGTTGAGAACTGGCTTTGTTCTTAGCTCAGGACGCCAGCATCGAACTGGCTTTTTCTTGGTTAAGCCCGCCGCTCCTCTGTCCTCACCCAGCGAGGGCACCAGGACATAGTCGCACTGGCTCCTCACTGTAATTCTGTGGGTGGGCCCAGGACAGGCCCTGTCGCCATCCCTGCTTGATACAGGCGAGGACACGGAGGTCAGAGGTTAGCTGATGTGTCTGGTCACACGTCGGATGGGGCAGGGTTGCCCCGGGGTCCAGCTTTTGGCACTTCCGGGAGCGGCACTGACCCCACTCTGTGCGGAGCGTGAGCTCCTCTGGACACGAAGGAGCCAGCCTGTCCTCCGTTACTTCCGCGGGCTGGTTTCTTGCACCGGCAGGGAGACTGGGATAAAATGTTCTCACGGACGTGTGCCTGTGCCAAGTAACAAAGGCGTTGGGAGCCGGGAACTTCAGGGAAACTCCATCATTGAGCATGTGTGAGTGAGTGTGGCAGGAACGGCCTCAGTTCCTGTTCTTCACAAGCACTAAGCGATTGTCGCTTTATCCGCGTGGCCACCAACTAGAATGCATTCTGGGTGAGGCCCGAGTGCACACTCTGATGCTTAATCCCGTATTAATAGCATTGTATTGTTAATTACAGTAAATAGCAGGCTGCAGGGAGATTGTGCCCCTAACTTCCTAGCTGGTCTGTCTGAGCGATAGATCATCTTTCTGTGACCATTCCTTGTGGCAGCCTTTTGAAAAATTGGAAACCTTGGTAGAGGAAATTGTGTTAGCTGATCAAATTGACTCTTTAATAGTTGCTTTTGTTTTTTGTGTGTATTCTTTTATTTTTAGTATGTTGGTGGTAGATAACCAGATGATCAATCAGCTTCCCCATATGATCCAGAGCCCTCCTCACCCCTCCCCTCAAAAAACACACAACTGCCTGCTCAGCCACTGTTTCACCCTGAGGCTCCGGCTTTTCGGCGGGCCATCCTGGAGGCTGAGGCTGGGCGAGCTGGCATGTTCTAACAGATAAAACCACGATGGCAGAAACCTGGGTGTTGGTCCACATGATGTTGTTTTAGAAAATGGGGCTCCATAGCTTTGCAGGGCTCCCCAGCTTCTGTAAACAGTGTTGCTGGGACGTGGACGAGCTGAGTCTCTGGGCTGATCCAGGCTGGGCCAGGTCAATCCCAGCTGCAGCCCTCGAGGAGATGCCTCATCCAGCGGGAAGGATTCAGGGAAGAAGGTGCCCAGCAGAGAGCAGGATGTAAGCGCTACTCCCGGACCTTGTGCAAGACTTTCTCGGAGGGCTCTTCCTCCGTTCGCTGCTTCCAGAACCCACCTTGGGCTGGCACATGGGACACATCCTTTCAGAAATCCCCCCACCCCTGGGGCCGCCACAGCACTGGCTCCGGGAAGGGACCGTCTCCAGCAGTCCTGTCCATCTGGGAGCCGCCAGCCATGAGGGTTCCACTGATTGGTGGTTGTAACCCGCCATCCACGGTACTGGGAGCAGCCCAGCCGCCAGGGGGATGGAGGAAAAGGAGTGGGCAGTCGAGGTCCGGAGAGATCTGGGTCGTGATGTTCTGTCCGTCGGACGTGGACTTGGAACGCTGTGAGCTGTCGGCTGCGTGTCCGAACAGCTGGCCAGCAGCTGTCTCCCTGCTGCTCAGCAGTGGGTGGAGGACTCCACTGTTTGTGGCCGGGCGGGAGGGGCCCTGGGTAAAGTGCCCTGAATAACATCAGATCGTGTGAGTATTTGTATTCTCTGCAATGAAGCACATTAATTTTAGCCGAGCCCTGTAGCTCGGCGGGGGCGGGGGCAGCCCACTTGGCAGGGCCTCCTCGTGTGGCCTCATGAAGGGGGACTGCAGGCTGGGATGCTCGCTGTACCCTAACTCTGCAGCCCCTGTCCTGAGCCTCCTGGAATCCCAGCCAGCTCACTGCCTGGGTTTATTCCCTCCCCGTTTTTTGTACAGTTAGGGGTGGGGTAGTTCAGGGAAGAAGAGACTTAGAATACAGGCATGTGTTTCTATGGTAGCTCTTCACTGGAGAGCAGGATGCATGGCTCTGATCACCCATGGATGTGTCTTCCCCACATGTCTGCAGAGTGGAAAGTACCCACGAACCCCTTATTTTTACCAGTAGGGACACTGAGGCCTGGAGAAGTTTACCCAGTTGTGATAATAGGCTGGATTTCTAAGGTATCAATCTTTTGAAGAGACCATGACACATGTTTATATGGCCAGACACACATACAGTAACTCCGTTCATGCTCCCCATGAGAGGTGGGTATTGTCACCCCCATGTCACACAGAGGAAAGACAAAGACAGAGACATTAGGGAACTTCCAAAGGCCCACAGCTGAGTGAGTCCGGAGGCGTCCATGCTCCTCTGTGGCCTCCTGCCGTGTTCCCATGAGAGACCTGCTCCCCACAGGGCATGGTGGGCACTGCCAGGCTCCTCAGAGGGGTGGGAAGGATCACACCCACCCGGATGAACAAAGGAGGCTCTGAGTAGTGAAAAGATTTGCCCGGATCTGCAGGAGGCAGGTCAGAGGCAGCCTCCCAGTCCCCACGTAGCGCAGCCCAGCAACTCCTCTCTATGTACCTTTGGCCGGCCAGCCTCAAAGCCTGGCTCAGAGAACAGGCAGTGACTGTGCTATTGTTACTGCACTGCTGACGAACGGCTGCGTGCTGCAGACACGTGGCCCTGCAGGTTCTCCTTAGTGAACGCATTCTCTTGTCAAGAGTAGGCTGGACCCTCCGAGTCCTTAGTTCATGGATTCTCAAAGCAGCTTGTTGCCTTTTCCGTTACAAATCCCATCCGCTTTGACAACATTGCCGAGTTCACCTGTGAATAGATGCTTTATTGAATGCCGAGCTGGGAAAACCCAGCCACAGATGATAACAGTAACTGAAAGAAAGGGCAGGGGGGTCAGAGAGGCTGGTTCGCACTCCAGGAAAGGACGAGCCCCTGGCTGGATGAACGGCAAGTGTGCAGGTTCTGCCTTACAGCTGCTTTCTGCTCTGTGGCTTGGGAAAGGGCCCTCCACCTCTCTGGGCCATGTTTCCCCAACTGTAAAATCAGGAGCTGGGAAAATGATCTTCAGCTCACGCCTGGAGCTGAGGGCATGTTGGTCACACCCTTCAAGGCTCCCGACTACAGGACGAGCCCTGAATCCTGTCATCTGGTGATGCTGTTTGTGTGAGGCCTCCTCGGACGGAGTCTCCTTGTGTCACAGAAATAGGGGATCTCCAAAGGCCAGCAAGGAGGGTTCCTTAAAATAAAATACAAGTAGAAATGGATCACTGAGAAAGTTAGCACCCATGCTTCTGCTCTTCCATATAGAGGTAACGGGCAAGGCGGGAGGTTCTTATTTGACCCCAAACTCTCTGTCGCTGTGAACATCAGGGTGAAGGTTTGTGATGTGTTTTTTTACACTGAATTTATGTTCTTGTTTTTTACAATAGTAAAATTGTAAAAAACAGATCAAAAAAATGATTAAGAATTTTCTTTTCTCTTGAAATCTATATGTGACCAAAAGTTAGTGTCCAAAGCCTGGAAGGAGTTCCAGGCCGTCACTTAGTTTGTCCCTCCAATTTGACAAAGCCACCAATGAGCCGTTTCACTCCCCGCACACACACATCCCTGGAGCAGCCACACAGATCCATCAGGGGCCCCTCAACGTGCCATGTCTGTCCCCTCCAGGCCTGCAACGAGTTCACCACCCATGTGATGAACCTGCTGCGCGAGCAGAGCCGGACCCGGCCCATCTCACCAAAGGAGATCGAGCGGATGGTCAGCATCATCCACCGCAAGTTCAGCTCCATCCAGATGCAGCTCAAGCAGAGCACCTGTGAGGCCGTCATGATCCTGCGCTCCCGGTTCCTGGACGCGAGGTGAGTCGCCCACGCTGGCCTCTGGGAGAGACGCTAAGGGGCTGTGACCATGGCTGGTCCCACTCATGGCCCAGTTTTCACCAGTGGCAGCCAGGGAAGGACCATGGGTCAGAAAGGGACAGCTGTGAGACTAGAGCTTCAGGAAACATGGGCTAGAGGGGTGACATTTATCCCAAGAGCAAAGGTGACTTGGCAACAATGACAGCAAAGATAGGACTTGTAGTCCCCTACCACTGGGGACCTCTTCGTGTTTTTTAATTTACTGATTATAGAGAGAGGAAGGGAGAGAGAGAGAGAAGCATCGATTTGTTGTTCTGTCCATTGATGCATCATTGGTTTGCTTCTTGTATGTGCCCTGACGGGATCAAACCCACAACCTTGGAGTATTGGGAAGATGCTCCAACCAACTGAGCCACCTGCCAGGGCAGGGACCTCCTTTACAGGGCCCATCGGGTCTCACTAGCATGTGGCCGTGGCCATGGCACGTATTCTCCAGGACAGACAGTGCCGTTTGGGAGCTGGGATCCTCTCCACGCCGTATGCAGGCCGATGACCACATCCCGCGCTCTGGGCTAAGGTTGAGAACAGGCGGATAAGACAAGGTCCTAGGGCACAGGAGGGCGGGGGCTGGTCTGAGGGGCCAAACTTTCCCTCGAGGTTTGACGTTTCTGCCTGGCACTGCTGCTCAGGACTTGCTGTGAGTTCAAAGAATTCCGTTGAAACCGTGAATACAAAGGTCCTTTAAGACAGAAACTGCGCAGACGATAAGGCACCGGTTGGTTCTCAGCCCCCCTCCTCTCCAGACTGAAGGATTCGGGCAAATGCTGGGCTTCTCTGGTGTCTGGCCTCCAGCCTGTAAGGGGTGAGGGCGGTGCTCTCCTCCTGCAGACGCACATCCGGGAACCGACCGCGCAGACACCTCTCATGGCATGGCCTCACTTGTCTTCAGGTAGCATCTTCTGCGTAGGCCGATTTCACCAATCATTATGTCGGTTTCTGAGGATAATCCCAGTCTATTATTTTTATTATTAAAATGTTCTTTGTGTACAGGGCTATGCCAATTCATGAGCATGGTTTTATCAGACACAAGTGGGTCTGAATTTTTCACCGCCAGACTCCTGTTTTTATCTCTATTCACCACTGTGGTCTCTGCAGCCCACAGGCCTGGCCTCTCCTCAACTCCCTTTCACTCAGTGTGTTTTGAACAAAACAGGAGAATGCCAGCCAGCAGTGTGTCTCTGGGTCAGTAGAATTTCCAATAGAAAGTAAAATTGAAGATCGCTTTTCCCGGCTGGGCGTGGCGATGAATTGGGGATGCCAAAATCCCCCACTGAGGCAGGACCCTGAGCCTCTCCCTCCCTGCCAGCCGCCAGCCTGGCTTCTCTAAAGCTTCCTCACAGTGCAATGTGCAGTGTCTGGTGGCCTCTGTCTGGGTCCCTCCCTGTGTGCAGCCACCACTCTGCCATCCCCATGGCAACACCCCTCGTTAAAATGCTGGTGTTGGTATTTATGTTGGCAGATACTGAAAAAAAGAAAATTTGGGTCCAGACTGAGTTCTTTTCAAGAAAGGGATCAGGGAGAAGGGAAAGTGAAGTCATTGTGTCACGGGACCTGTCCTTGCCGTAATTCTGCTCACCCAGTCCAGGGTCAGACTCAAAGCCAGCTCCTTTCCCTCCACCAGTTTGCCTCAGTTGTTCCGTTTGGCACCAGAAGGATGACCCCTTCAAGGGTGTCTTTCCTGCTTTGGCTGCAACCTTTGAATCACCGCCTCTGAGCCAAGGATCTAGTGAGAACAGCTAATCCAAGTGTCGTCATTCTTACCCTTTATGCTGAAAGTATCAGTGAAAGAATAGAACCCCAGATGCCACCCCACGGCTGAGCAAGTGGCTTCCTGAGCTCAGACACTGGTGTCTGCCAAGCTCCTGACCGGGGCAGATGAAGCCCTGCTCCCTGGGCTGCAGTGGGTCCGCCGGCTGCAGGCACCTGCAGAGGGAGACAGGCTCGCTGCTGGGGTCCCTGCTCAGCACGCTGTGGGTGGGCAGGGCTCGTCGGTGAAAAACTCCATCAAAAATGATAAAATGCAAGGGGGTGTAGTCCAGCAACAGGACTAGTGTTTGTCATGCACCTGTAGGCTCGGGTGTTCCTGCTGTACGGTGTAGCCCCCCATGTTTGTTCTTTCTTGTCACCTAACATGCCCCAGACTTAGTGGGAAAACACAGCACAGCCATTATCTCACAGTTCCTGTCATCAGGCGTCCAGAGCTGTGAGCCGGGTACCCTCTGAGGCTGTGACCTCATCTGAGGCGCAGGTTGTCTCCCAGGCTCGTTCCCGTGTGAGCAGAATCCGTTCCTTGTGACTGAGGAGGGAGGTCCCAGCTCCCAGAAGCCACCCTCTCCACAGGGACCCACAGTGCGGCCCGTAGGAGAATCTTGACATTTTAAGCTTTAACCTGATTTTCCCTTTCCACAGACTTAAATCCGCTGATTATAGCCAAAGCAGAGGAATGGCAGCCTGTCATTTCCACAGTCCACCCGCCCTCAGGCTCTGAGCAGCGGGGTCCTAGCGGACCTCCGTAGGGTTCCGCCTTCCCCATGCAGCTGAGCTCTGGCCCAGGTTTCGTCCTTACACTGGCTTAACTGTACCAGGAAATTATAACTTTAAAATCCATCCATTCTCTCATTTGTTCGATCATTCATCACCACCCGCCTTGGGCCGTAAAAGTGAGCGAACCTGAGCTCTATAAACAGAGCGGATGCACCCTCTCAATGATTGTGTAGCAACAATTTGACTTTTTTCGATAACATTTTGCTGGAGAGAACAGAGGAGCGTGAACATGGTTAGAAGCGTCCGTCGCACCTCACCCCTGTTAGAGGGGACAGCAGAAAATGAATCAGCAGAGGGGAGGGTGGCAGGTAAGAGGCTGGACGTCCAGGGGCTCTGCTCCACGGGCTCCGTGATTTACTATCCGATGGAGTGCTCACGCATTGCCCATGCTTACTAGCCATTGGAACAACAAAGGTGAAAGCCCATATATGGGTCCGGCCTTCAGGGAGCTCATCTCGTGGGACAGAGACTCCTAGGACTCCACACAAAGCCGCAGGTGAGCTCGTGGGGCGTACCTGCCAGCCCCCGTGATGACGGAGAGTCGGGTGGGCAGGCAGTCCTGCGTCTCAGAGGAGCACGATGTTAGAGAAGCGAGAGCCACGGGAGGCAACACGACCCAGTGTCCGCGGCATCACTGACTCGAGTGCACCCTCGAGCGCTGCGTGTTCAGCCCTGGGGTCTCAGATAAGAGTGAAACGTGGCTCCTCCCGTGGGGATTTGCCCAGCCGCTGGGGAGACAGACACCTGCGCCAGCGCTGGGGCAAGAAGGGCGCGGTGGTGCGAAGCGGCAGAGAGCGCGCAGTGCGAGTGTCTTTGGGGAACGGGGCGCCTGCGGTGTGGCTGGATGAGCTGTGTGCCAGTGTCAGATTCAGGGGAAGGGGGCACCAGGGACGGGATGGACCCCCTGGAACTCCTGAACTGTGTCAGTGAACATTTTGAAATTGGATTAGGGTTAGAGGTAGGGTTAGGGTTAGAGTTAGGGGTTAAGTTTAGGGCTGGGGTTAGGGGTAGGATTAAGGTTAGGGGTAGGGTTAGGGTTATAGTTAGGGTTGGGGTAGAGTTGGGGTTAGGGCTAGTGGTTAGGGTTAGGGTTATAGATAGGGTAAGGGTAGGGTTGGGTTTAGGGTTAGTGGTTAGGGTTAGGGTTAGGGCCAGTTGGTTAGGGTTAGTGGTTAGGGTTAGGGCAGGGGACAGCACATATGGTACTTAGCAACATATTTCCACAGTGCCTATATGTACTACTCTCAAATCACTCAGATTCTAAAAGTTTTGTTCCTAAAATACTGCACTTATCCTGTAATATTTAATCCAGGTTCACATTTCTTAAATTGAAACCTAGTTTCTGATCGGCTTGACATCGCTTCACGGAAACACGTGAAGCCAAAGCTAAGCACCTAAGTGTCTCAGCTCAAGGAGCCGTTTGTCGGGAGGGTATTATGTTCACTGGGTTCCCTAAAATTCTGAAAACTCCTAATCCTGGGCTTTCTCAGGCCCGAGGCTGAGACAGCAGGGAAGGGGTGTTGAATAGGTCCACCAAGGAGCCGAGACCACCTTGGGTCGGTTGCCTGACGCAGGGAGGAGCGAGTGGGAACAGCTGTCCGCTCGTCCCTGGCCACCCTCTCGTTCCCGAGAGGCTGCCTTCCAGCTCAGTTGGATGAGTCACAAAAACACACTGTAATGTTAGTGCAAACAAGTGAGCGAGGCTCTCCCAGGTCGCACAGCCTTTGGAGTTCAGATCCCCAGCCTCCAAACAACTGTCTTCTTTAGGCCAAGAGGAAGCCAGAGGCTACGTAAGGACAGGCCTGGGGACCTAGTTAGCCACAGGATGCTCCTAAATTCCCATCATGCCAGAGCTTCAGACACATGCCTACTTTTTAGTTGGGTTTTTAGTCCAGTCTTTCCAATTTCTGATGCTGGGTGACCCAGAAACTCAGCGTGATTTGGGAGAGCGACTTGGTCTTGGTGTAATCTGGACAGATGTGGTTCATACCTATGGACAGATGGTGTTCGCCCAGTAAAATCAGGCACTTCATTGTGTTAATTAATCCAAGCGGGACCCTGAAAACACAATATTAGCTGAATTTCCTGTCCAGCAAGGTGCTCCGTGCTTTCTGTTGGCTAAATTGGGAAATTCTACCCTGACGTACCCAGGAACATTCAGGCATCTTGTCAATAAGGAAAAGCTTTTGATAAAAGCAAGAAAGGCAACGAGCTAATAGAACTACTTTAAGGAAGAGGGCCCCACCTCCTGTGGGAGGGCAACCAGCTCTGCAGTGAGCCAAGGTCTCCTCACCTTCCCAGAGGAGGCAGTAAAGGAATTCTCACTTTGAATTAGTTCCATTAGCACTTTTTTTAAGGTAGAAAAATGCTTTTATTCAAAAAGTTGTCATCCCCTCTGCCCCCTGTATAGTAAAGATGTCGTGCGCGGGCTTCTGGTTTGCAACTTGGCCACTCTTCTTACCTAAGAAGTGTGCCTTCCTCCGGGGCGGGAGCCCAGCCCTCGGGGTCCCCCCAGGCCCTCCTCCCAGATGTCTTTTGGAAATGCCTGCGGGTGCATGGGGATAGAATAAAGAGAATGGTAACTTACTTTGAACTTCAGCTGAGAGTCTCTGGGATTCCCTGGGGGGGATCTGTGCAGAAAGGAAGGCTGGTTTACATCAGGCGGACTGGAGTTGGCAGAGTGACCTTCAGACTGAGCTCCCCATTGGGAACTGGGCGTGACCATCCCTACCTCACTAGCTGTGGAAAATGAATGACTTGCATTGGTTGTGTGAGGGCTCAGGCCTAGTGCCTGGGACCTGGTGGGAAGCACTCTGTCCCCACCGTGCCCAGCCTGGTCCATGCAGCAGGCACGTGCCGAGGGCTAGCTGTCCCTTACCCTCGCCCGAGGTTCCTGTGATGCGCCTCACTGTCAGCTGAGGAGGCGCAGGCTTAGAGAGGCATCAGCATCCCAAGTCACTGGCTGGGGTTCAGTTAGCCCAGGACTCAAAGCCAAGATGGTCTGAAACCTCGTGCTTACCCCGCTGTGTGTAAACACGCTCCAGCCCTCTCTGGGCCCGGTGCAGTGTTTAACAGATGCGTTTGGTGATGGTTTCGGCATCCCCTTCGCACAGTCTCCTCTCAAAAAAGTGGCTTTCTCCAGGGCCCCCTTCTCTCCCTGTTTGTGTGAATTTGGTGTGAATTCGGTTTTGTTGTCTCATTTGGTTCCTTTCTCCCACGCAGGCGGAAGAGACGGAATTTCAACAAGCAGGCGACGGAAATCCTGAATGAGTATTTCTATTCCCATCTCAGCAACCCTTACCCCAGTGAGGAAGCCAAAGAGGAGTTAGCCAAGAAGTGCGGCATCACCGTGTCCCAGGTGAGGACCCAAAGGCCCAGCCTGCGGCCCGGCCGGGTGGCCACCGGGCAGGGACTGGGAGGTTGGCGTTACTCAGCTTCATGCCCTGCAAGTTGGAGCAGCTGCAGCCCTGAGATGGCCCAGGTGGCGCATGCAGTGTGTAAATGCAGAGCTTTGGTAAGTGCCTGGGAAACTGGAGAGGGACCGGCCAAAACCAAAGACGAGGTGGAGGGCGCGCAAAACAGGGCTTGGCTCCTCCCAGCGACCGCCTGCTGCTTCAAGCGGGAAGGTTCCTGTTTAAACTTGGAAAGTTATTTGCATTTCTCATGTTGTTTCTCAAGCACAGTCCGTTCCTCAGCCCGTGTTCTGCCCAACCCAGGAACTCTACAGGTCAGGGGATGGAACCAAGTGGAAGGACTGAAATGCCTTCTCTCTTATGCCCACTGTAGCCACAGGTGTGCAGGAATTTTAACAGGTCCTGTGACTGCCATGGTATAGTCACGCACACTGCCCCCGAGCGCCGCCTCCCCAGAGAGCTGTGACCATAGCAGGTGCCTGTTGATGTGGACAGATGCAGGGTATCTGAGTCTTTAGCATTCGTGTAGAGCAGGAGAGGAGGCAGTGTTTACATGTAAGAGGCTCTATCGAACTTCTCACTCAGTCCGAACCTTGATTCTACCACCATCTCTACTTGGGACCAGGAGGGAAAGTTTTGAATTCTATTAGAGAAAGTTTTTGTCAGAATTATGCCACATGCAAGAGACCGAAATGTACTGATATTTCCATAAGAGGGGGTGAAGGGGGAGCAGGCCCACTGCAGTGAGAAATCTCACTGAGCAGCTCCCAGTCGTTTGTACCAGCTGAGCATCTGTACCCTTGCACCGAGCCCTGGCTTCTGTTGCTCCCCGCAGGGCACGCTCCCACCAGCCTGTGACCAGCCAAGCAGAATTAGGCCTTGCCAGAACTCAGACTCCCCATGGGGTATTTGCAGTGATTTTGCAGCAGCATTAGCCACACCTTCCAGAAAGAGAAGGTGGAAAGAATGGACCCCTTTCAGCTCAGATCTCCCTTAGGTGCTCTGACCCAGTGGAAGGCCATTTCCAGTCCTGACCACCCCAAGAAGTATGACCCCAGGGGTCAGACACAGGCAGCTTCTTTTCATCTGGGTCTCTAACCCTTCTTCTCTGAATCTAGACCCTTTGTCCATGAGGAAAGAGAACTGATGTTTTTTTATGTTTGCCACGTGTTTGAGGAATGGCTCCAGCTGGGAGCCACACCACCAACTCCCAGTCAGGACGTGTCAGCCACAGAATCCTCTGTTACCTGAATCCTGATTCTGGGATTCCAAATTCCGGGTCCCTTTGGAAAACAGCAGGAGCTCTCTGGGAGCCAGTCTGTGTTTCATCCACATAACGGATGGGCCTGGTCTGTTCCAGCAACCTCACTTCCTTTGTGTGGAAACTCAAAGTGCAAATAGCTTATCCATTAAAAGAACTACATAGGTGTCACCCTGTCCTTCTCCGCCCACCCTGCAGCATCAGTCCTCCCCATGGCAACCACACTGCTCCACTGTTGTCAAACAAGTCCAGGGGACAGTCTGTGAGATCATGGCCAAGAGTCACTGTGAGGTCGGGGAACTCACTCTCTTCCGGCCTTAGTTGCCCCATCCACCAACCGTGGTTCCTTGGACCCCGTGCTGTATTAAATCTCCACCTGGTTACCACATCTAGGGGATGCCTTCTGAACTGCCTCCCTGCCTCCTTCTTTCTTTCTTCCCCTCTTGATTGACAACAGCCCTGCCTGGGAGAGCCCCGTGCCTGGCCGTCCGCAGCGCCGTTCCCTCAGCAAGCGCCTCCTTCCTCCGACACTCCCGCGCAGCCTTGGAGGATCTGCTGCTCCACCTGCCCTAAAATGCTGTTCTTTCTTTAGCGCTCATCTCTTTATGTCCCACCCTATGGTTCTGAACCATTGTTTCAAGTCACCAATTCTTTGTAAATCTACATCCTAATGAGTCCTCCCATGATTCAAATCAAAATGTGCTCACACACCAAAATCCATCTGAAGTCCATCCCTTGACCTTCTCAGCCCTTCCTGCGTCCCAGTGCTGCCTGGAGGGTGACCTACAGAGGGCAGCATCGGCAACACCTGAGACCTTGGTAGAAATGTAAATTCTAAGGTCTCACCTGATCCTGAATCAAGGTCTCACGGGGGTTAGGAATCTGCGCTAACAAGCTCTCCCTGCACTGGACTCTGACCAACACTGTCTTGCACTCTCTGAGTGATCCTGTCCATGTTCACAGCCACAGTCACCTCTATCTGAATATCCAGGTGGGACTTCGCACCTGCAACACCAAACTCACGCGTGATACTTCCCACTGGACTTTGCCAGGGCTGTGTCCACGGGCTCTTCAACCTTAACATGTTCAAAATGTGCATCAGAATCTCCTCAGAGAATCTGGGGTTCCACTGTCCCAGACTATGCCTGTGGTCTGTGTGCCCAGGTGCCTTGCGGACCCCTCAGTCCATGATGCTGAACAGTGAGCTCATTCATGGGAACCCTGGTTCTATGCGTCACCCAGGGCATGTGACAGCAGCTGGTGGGAGACCAGGAATGCCAGCCGGACCTGGCTTCTTCCCTCCCATTCTGCTGTTCTCACCTAGAAGGGAACTGTCCCCAACATGTCCCTCCTCTACCCTCTTCCTTCCCGTTTTCTCGCTTGTAGCTGATTTCATCCTCCTCAGGCATGCCCTTCATCCTCAAAAGTCCCCCGGACTCTCTTCATCTCCCCCTTTCTCACCTCACCCAGTTCCCTTCGAAGAACCCCTGCCTCCTTTGCTCTCTGCTCCACAAGCAATCAAAAGGCAACCACAGTTCCAAATGATGCCTATGGACAGTGGAAAGCTGTGTCAAGGAAAACAGGAATTTGGGGGTGAAATTAGACAGTGGTTCTTGAGTGGACCCAGATTGCCCCTTGTCTTCTGGATAACTTGGTTTTTCTGACTCACAAGCAGCTACAATAAACAGAGCACTTTCTTACTGGATGTCTCCCGTGTTTGCTAATGCTGCAGTGGCAAGGCTTGGTTTTTACAGCAGAGCCTTTGCATTTCTGCTGTTTTATACGCTGCATAGGACAATGAGGGTTAGCTTGTGAGATTGCTAAATTTTGCTAATGTATTCAAAAACAAGTGTAGTTTGAAAGAATTTCCTTTGTCTGCCATTGTCGGGCACATACAGATGCTGTGTAAGCTGTGGTGCAAGTGCTACCAACCCCCACCCCCCACCCTCTCCAGGTTCATAGTTTGTTTTGTAATTATGCAAAACCCCAACATTTTAGTGCTAACTCGCATCTGGAATATGGGGCATAAATGTTCCTTCCTAGGCAGGAATTGGGGGAGGAAAGCACGCATTCCACTGACTCCACTTGTGTCTGGCAGTCACCGTGGTGCATCAGCACACTAAAGGCTCTGACAAGTCCCACAGCAAAGCCTTGGTGTGAGGGCCCTGGGGCACAGTCAGGCCAGGACAGCTGCCGTGAGCCTCGCCACAAAACAAAATTAACGAACAAGTAGGAGTGAGGTTTATTTCGTGTGTGGCTCTGACGTGGAGGCCTGGAATTCCCAGCATCTCTTAGGTAGATGACGCCGGCCTGGCAGGCACAGGGATGGTAATCAGCTCTTAGTACAGTCAGCCAAGAATCTAATCCACGTCAAAATGACTTAACCCCCCAAATGTGAATGTAAGCCGTCGATGTTACTAGAAATCTATATGGATATTTAAAGGTCTGTGGACTTTTATTGCCCAAAGTCAGCGTTAGCATTGCTATGACAAAGGAAATTGTTGCAAAAACTATGCTTTTTTTAAAATGCCTTTCGTTTTAGAGTCATACTTAAGAGGTAAGCAAACTTCAGACGCTTGCCCTGGACCGAAAGGGTCCTGGTTTAAAGAGCAGGCCCTCCCTCGGGGAGTTTCTGTCCCCGAGGCTGTGCTGCACTGTGCTGTGTTCAGCTGGCGTCTCACTTCGTACCCCTGCTGCTCCCGAAGCCCTCACCTCGGACCTCTCGGGCAGGCTATGGAATCTTCACTGATGGGACCACCCACCCGGCAGCCCCCCCCTCCCTCCTGCTGTTTGTGTTAACCTCTCGTCTTCTCTTACACTGCTCTAGGTATCAAACTGGTTTGGAAATAAGCGAATCCGGTACAAGAAGAACATAGGTAAATTTCAAGAGGAAGCCAATATTTATGCTGCCAAAACGGCTGTCACTGCCACCAATGTGTCAGCCCACGGAAGCCAAGCTAACTCACCCTCAACTCCCAACTCGGCTGGTTAGTTTCCTCTTTGATTTGGGGGGACTGGGCTCCATTCTTATACTTGCTTTTTCTGCATCGGGGTTTTCTTCAAACCTTCAGGTTTCTCCATTTATGAATTCGAGTGTCCTTGTGGTGGTTGGTGCCCCTGTGGGTTTTCCCTCTCATTTCTAAACAGAGAGGCGTTACGCCGCTTACGAGAAGGGCTTGCCTGGAGGTGAGCACAGGTGTGTCTGTTTAAGGTAAATGGGTTGGTTTTGATGAGGTGACCTCTCCCGTCCCCCTTCGGAGATGCCCTTGAGGAAGCTGGACTGGCTGCTTAGGCCTGGCCCCGGGGCCCTGGCACGTGGTCTGTTTCGTGGGAATTTTACCCTGTCTGCCTTGCTGCCCCATCACACACTGTCCTGGTCACCTACAAGCTTGGGTTCTGCACATGAACATTCACTCTTCTGGTCAATACCCCATTCGAATGTTTAGTTCTGCAAAGCCAGACTGTAATTATTTCTGTACTTTTAAAAGTTGTCATTCTTCATTTTATTTTGTTGGTTTTCTTTATGTAAGCTACAAAAGGAAATTGCCAATTAAGGAAAATTCTTAATTCAGATTATTCAGATTTCCATCTTCATGTTACACTGTCAGTCATACACTCTGTCCCTGGTTTTATTTTAGTAAATATGCGTTGTAACACCAATTCCAGAGTATCATTAATTCTGAACTTCCCCTTGTGAAAAGAAAACATAGTCAAAATGCCTAACATATAACCTGACTGTCTAGGTGCTGTGGGAGGCGTGTCTGTCCTATGGGGTCATGTCTACACTATGGGAGGCGTATCTGTGCCATGGAGGGCGTATCTATGCCCTGGGGGGGGGGGTGCTATGAAGGGGTGTCTGTGCCATGGAGGGGCGTGTCTGGGTGCTGTGGAGGGGGTGTCTGTGTGCTATAGGAGGCATGTCTGTGTGCCATGGGGGTATGTCTGTGCTATGGGAGGCATGTCTGTGCCATGAGAGGCATGTCTGTGCTGTGGGAGGCATGTCTGTGCCATGAGAGGCATGTCTGGGTGCTATGGAAGGTGTGTCGCTACTTTCTTTAAAGGAAAAAAACAGAAATATTTCCTATTTAAATAAGTCTGACTTCCACTGATGGCAGTTCACCCCATGGCTGGGGGTGCACACCTGAGAAACCCATGCCTCCAACTTTAAAGGCTCACACATTTAAATACATTAGCTCATAATATGATTAAAAATCTAATTTCCAACCTTTCTGGGGGCATGTGGTATCTTTGACCCCAGAGCTTGTTTGCCTAGTAAAATGAGTTCCCCTCCTACCTATGGTGGGTTGTTCTTGAGGACACACGAGGCTCCACATCCGTGAGCTTCCAGGCGCACACGCTTGTTAGGATAAGGTCTCCAATCCAGGGGCTATGCCGTCGTGGCTCCTGTTTAAACGAATCCTGCGTGGAGAGCAGCCCGGGCTTTGTAAACGTGGGCGTGGTGAGACACGCAGCATCCCACCCAGTTGGGTTTCTCCAGCAGCCCAGGTCGGGGGCTGTGGAGCGGACGTGCTGTTGGGGGGTTTGTGTGTGGCTTCCTTCCTCCCCTCGTGGTGTGACTGACGGAGGACCAGGGCTCACAGGTTAAGAACCAGAGTCTCCTTCTGCCCCTTCTGGTCCGTGGTCGTGCCCGCGGGCCCGGCAGCTCCAGTGGAATCGACCGTGAGGCGGGCATTTTCGCTCGTGTCCTTGGAAGAACAGGTTTGTCAGCCTGAGCAAAACACTCGCACCCCTGCAGAGGTTACCATAGTGCAAAGCAGAGATCGCAGTGGCTTTTCCTGTCCCTGATCGGTCTGCCCCGCAGATGGCTCGGTGTGATTTACGACTCGTCCTCAGACGGGCCCTGTAGATTCCCCTCATTACCACATCCGTAACTTTTCTTCTTCCCCAAAGCTCTTAAAACGAGAGAACAGGAAGCATTTGCACCCCCTCGTCTGCGTGTGAGAGTCACGTTGGCTCTCGGAATGTCACTCTATGATTACAGTTTTCCAGGAAATTGTTCTGGTGGCTTAAACTTCAGGTGACTATTCTGAGCACAGAGTAAATGATTATGGAGAATGTGAGCCAAACCTTCCAGGCGTTGTGAAGCCGCTGGAAATAACGTATGGAGGAGCCCGTTGTGTGCCTGCCCTGGGGCGGAGCAAAGGCAGCTGCAGTAGCAGGGCTCCCGAAGGACGGGCGCTCCCCGGGGCGGGCTGTGACCGGCTCGTCTGCGTCCTGCTCGCCGCACAACCCAGTCGCCGCGCAGAGAAGGGGGAGCTCTCAGAGGTCCAAACCTCTCACGCGGCGTGTTTCTAATGTTGCGTATTGGCTCTTCAATAGTTCTAACGGTAAATGATCATGAAAACAGACGGTGGGTTTTTAACAAAAGGGTAGCGTGCGGAGCTTTATTCTGGCTGAGTTTGAAGCCTCCTGTCCTGGAACCCAGGGATGTTCTATGTCCGTGGCATCGATGCAGGAGTGTTTGTCAGACGTTTACTCAATATAGGTCCGCATTCCTACTGTGAGGAAGATACTTTGCAGCAAGTCTCCCCTCTAGAGGCCTCTGTTCTTTATATCATCGTTCAGGCCACTTCCAATATCCCTGTTTGCTGATATATGCCGAGTCTTTTTCCTTAAGCATAATTCACAAAAATCACTTAAAACTAGGACCTGTGGCAGATTAGCAAGCATCTAGAGATACTTGGCAAACGTCATGTTTTATGCCAGCAGAGTTGGGCAGAATGAATGGAGCAAAGAGGAAGAAAAGCGGGCAGAAAGAAAGTTTTAAAAATAAAGCAAAAACGGGGGCCCGTTGCAGCACTAATTATGACCCTGGATCCAGAATTCTTCTGGCGTGACCTTAAGCAGCACAATCTCCATTTCCTGTGGATGTTGAGACAATGAAAGCAAGAGTTGAGGTCTCAGATAAATAGAGCCCTAAGGGGAAGGTTGGATTATCTTTTGGGAAGGTTGGTGGACGTTTTAACCTCCAAGAAGGAAGAAATTGGCTTGTGCGTTATAGATGTTTGCAGTGGCCAAACATCGACGCCAGTGTTCGATCTGGATCTGTGACCAGCCGGGGCCCGGCGCAGCCGGGTTTGAGTTTTCTGCTTAGCTGCATGTGCATGGCGAGGACAGTGGCAGATCCAGCCATGGCAGTTGTCCCCCGGCCCTGTTTCCTTAGTGGGAGCCCTCGTTCCTGTTCTCATTCCACCCCTAAATAGGCCTGGTGCTTTTCAGGGTTGGTGGAGCATTGTCACATTAAAGCCCGGGACTCTGGCTTCCTCAGAGAAGATTATGTCATCCCCATGGTCAGAGAGATGGCCCCCGACCCAGAGAAGGTGGCCAGCACATCTAGGAGGCCCACAGGACCCTGAGCACTTTGTGTTTCAAAACTAAGTGAAAGAGTGTATCCCACTGATGTTTCTGTTGCGTTCCTGTGTTTCTCACTCTTAACTCTTACGTCTCAGTGGAAATGGAAAGAGCCTCGAGGGCTCGAGCCCCAGACCCGTGGCCTTCACACCCCCTGCGGGATTTCCCATCCGCCCGACAGCCTTCCCTTTGCCACTGTGCCCTGAGTAGAAAGCAACCATGACTTTGGAACGGGCGGAGGAGGAACCATGGGAGAGACAGGCGAGCCTAGGACATAATTAGGCTTTCATCCAGCAGAGGGGCTCTATCTTCTGAGCCTCCTAATGGTGTGGGATCCACTCTGACCAGGCGGCCATCTGATCTGTGTGGAGTTCTTGTTTCTAAACTGCAAGCATCAGGGCCATATCTCCATACATCTGCCCCTAAAAATGCTGTGGAAACAATGCACAAGTGCTTGGCAACAGGTTGAGCTCCTTCAGAGGGAAAACCAAGCCCATTCCTGTTCTAGGTCATGGGCGCCCAGCAGGGCAAGCTTCATCCGGGGACATTCAGAACTGTCTGCACACACTTTTGGTTACCACCGTTTGGGAGGGTGGGTGCTCCTGGCATCCGGTGACTAGAGGCCTAGGATGTGAGTGATCATTTGCAATATGACATCCCCACAATAAGGATGGAGTGGGCCCACGACATCAGTGGTTGCCTGGTCCAGGAGCCCTGTTCAATGTTTAGGTTTTATCATTAGTGCTTCTCCTTTTCAGATGGTTAATTGGTTTTCTTTTTCTGCACAAATATAACATCCAATCCCCGCAGCATGGATGTTAGCACATCCGCACATCATCACATCTGCCCGAGCAACCTTGTGGCACCCGTGGGTGACCCAGACTTTCCTCCTGGTCTCATTCAGTGCAGTGTGGCTCCTCACACACCCTGAATGCCTGGGTAGCAGCTGGGACCAGCCCCTCGCCCCTTCCCAAGCCAAGTTCCAACCTTTCAGGTGGCAGCACATCACAGCGTGCCTTATTAAGTGATGATTATTTTACGGCTGCCCACAGGTAGGTCCCTGACCGACCTCAGCAAGCAGGGGAAGCTGCTTCAGCCCACTGGGGATGCGCAGAACCTGCGAGGGGCTTGCTTCATTCCCAGTTCCCTTCCCGCAACGAGTTCTTCCCAACTCCCCGCACGGGAGGAAGACCGTGTCTCCCTTTATTTAGCCTTTTGTGGACTTCTGTCCCTGAGCATAGCTGCCGCCTCCAGATACGAATGAGAGCTTCAGAGCCTGGTCGTGTTGTACATGATTTGGGGACAGGAAACGCTGACACAGCACGGCCCGAGCCGCGGCGAGCCTGCAATTACTGCTCTGAGTCCCGGCGTCCTACAGTTCATTGCTATGCGCATATTATCTCTGTGTCTGTGAGGCTCAGACATAGTTACCATTTATCTATGCACATATATTCTCGAGCCGTCTGTGTTGATGGCAGCGTATATCTTGTAAGTGGCACATTCCGGGCCTTCGTGGTCCGTGGCTGCCATGTCACCTGGCGTCGGCGGCCCTTTGGGGGTTTCTCCGGTTTCTCAGTGTGTGTGCTGATTTCCACTGAGCCGGCAGCCAGCAGCTAGAGCGTGTATTTATTCCTGCGCGACTGGGAACAGTCGAGTACCCACGCTTCAGACCGCACACTCCTTGGGGGAAGTCTGATGTCATATAAACAATTAGAGTCCGGTACCTTGGAGCTGACTGTCCTTCGTTCTGATGACATTTAAATGTGAGTGTGTGTTGTCACACTTACAGCAAAATGGCTTTTATTATTTAGGTTATATTTCTGGGGCAAAAGAAAGAGTTCAGAGGGACATAACTAGGGTACAGAGGCCTGGGAATTGCAGAGGTCACCATGAGACTGACCTGTGCCCTTGGCTTCGCCTCACTTTGGGAGGACTGCTTGTACCACATTGACGGATAGACATTCCAGCCAGAGCCAGACCTGCTCAGACCTCGTGCCTGTTCTGCCTAAGACCCAACTTTTCTAGTTCCTTTTGGATGAATTAAACAGAGAAACATGTGCCGGACAAGACAGGATGTTTTCAGAGCCGCGGTGATGTCATAGTTCTCGAGGTGGTGCTTGGGGTGTCCCCCACCCCCAAAGAAAGCATTCTCAAGTTTGCACCAGAAGGGAGTGAGAGTGGGTGCTCAGTTCATGCAGCAAGTAGCCGGTTCCTTGCATGTGAATGAACATCCCAAAGAACCCAAAAAATGGTGTTTCCTAACTTGAGGCTGTCCCCAGGTGAATGGTCCTCAGGTACATCCTTTGGTTGCTCTCAGTGGCTCCTGGAGCATGAGGGTGCGATGGCTGGTCGATCGCAGGGTGCGTTGCTAGGTGAGTGGCCCCTCTGTGGAGAAAAGCAGAGCCTCCCTCCTGCTTAGCTGGACTCTCCGTGAGGCGGGAGAGCTCAAGAAAGTGTCCCAGAGCTGAGGCATGAACCCTCGTTGGCGAGCCCACACAGATGATGGCTGTCTCAGACGGGAGGCAAGAGGGTAGTGGAAGCAATCGGGGCTGGAAACAGAGTGGAACGACCTGGGTCCCTACGGTCTCTCCTCTTCCAGGCTAACGTCATGATTTAACCAAACCTTGCACGTTGAGCTTTCTTTCCTAACGCGCTGAGCTGCACGGTGGCTTCAGAATAATATCGATCTTCTTCACGCCCTTGTGTTTAGTTTGTGGGGAGGCTGGTTTACCCAGGGGAACCCAGGTGGGGCCAGAATGGACCTCAAGGCTACCTCTGGAGAAGGCTCCATCTCCGGAGGTGAAGGCAGACGGTGAACTGCTCTTCTTGAGGCCCTTTATTATTGTTATTATTAGCATTCCGTGTTTCATGCATGCTCGAGAGTCCCTGGCCCATTCATTCCATTCCATCTTCCTCCGTGACAGCAGGTAGCAGGGAAAGGTAGCTCACTCTCACACACGCTCACAACCCTGCAAGCTGTTTGCCACCCAGCAAGGAACATCGCCTGTTCTCTAGAAATCAGGGATGTCCTGGAGTCCCATGACGGGGCCCGCCAGGATGGGCACCGCCTCATCTCCCCCTCCCAGGTGCTGCTCCCAGGGGCAAGGAGGTGGGTGGACCGCAGCTCCAGGGCCGAGGCGGACCTGATGTGGCCCAGCCCAGGTTCTCCTGCCTGTGGTCCCCTGGCCAACCCTAGACTTTAGTGGCAGGAAGGGGACACCTTAGGTCTGGAGACTGTCTCCAGCTCCACCAGACAAAGCAGAGAAGAACAAACACCCCTTTCTCAGCTTGGAGCTGCTGAGGGGCCAGTCCCGTGGGCACCTGCAAAGCTGTGGCTTCACGTAACAAGGACCTCGTGCACCCTGTGTTGCTTGCTCTGTTCTCCATGCTACTAACAGACTCTGGAAGTCGTTTTGGTTGTTGTTTTGTTTGGGGGTTGCTTTGCATGTCACTCTTCCTCTCGCTGTCAGTTGCGGGGGCGGAGTCTTTTCCTTTCTGTGATTCAGGTGCCTCATCCTTTCCTTTCCAGGTTCTTCCAGCTCTTTTAACATGTCAAACTCTGGAGATTTGTTCATGAGCGTGCAGTCACTCAATGGGGATTCTTACCAAGGGGCCCAGGTTGGAGCCAACGTGCAGTCACAGGTAGGGACCAGCCATGTGCCGCCAGGTGAACGCACTAGAGCCCAGGAGCCCTCAGTCGTATCGGCACTTCCCGCTTCTGTCCAGAGAGAGGGAAGCGTAGCAACAAACCTTACCAATGACCAAACCAAACCAAAAAAAGACAACCATTGTCGTGGGGAATCTCGTCCACACTTGGTGAATGCATTTGGCTCTGGCTTGTCAGTCACACTGGGAAGGCGGGACAGGAGCAAGAGGCGCAGGGCAAGGGGACCGAGGCTGACCAGGCGAGTGGACGCAGCATGTTCTGTGTTCAGTGGGGGAAGGAGGGACTGCTCAGGGCGTTGTTTCCAGGTCTCCCTCTGGTTCTGGGTTTTCCACTCAGCATCTGCCCGCCATGGAGGTGAGCCACGGAGGCAGGTGCCTTAGTGTCTCATGTTTCCACGTGGAGCTTTAGGAAACCCTGCCAGGCGGACCGAACCCATCTCCTCAATCTTCCTGAAGGTTCAGGGACTTTCGTTCTGGAGCCAAGTCTAAGTCCCTGTTGGGAAGCAAAATGAGCCGTGTGGTGTAACCTCAGTGCTCCCAGGGCAGCCCGTCTTCGCCACACCTGATGGGCGAGGGGCTGTGGAGTGCTTTGGAGAATTACCAGGGGTTCCGAGCAACGTCCACGCAGTGTCCGCCCGGCACGTGGCTGGGGAGCACAGCAGGCTCAGAACAGACCAGCTGGCCAGCATGTCAGCCTCTGTTCAGGAAGCTGCCTGAACTCACCCCAACCGCTGGACATCATTTGTCCTCAGACAGACCAGTGTCAGTCACCCCCTGCACTCCGGGTGAGGTGGCTGACCTAGCCCCCTCTAAAAAGAAGCCTGACTTTCACGGGACACCCGCCAAGCAGGAGCTGCACAGCAGGTGTGGAGGGAGGGACAGCCCCTCACTCTCTCCCCCTGGTGCCCCCAGCACCCCAGCCCCTGCCGTCTCACACAGCTTCGGTGGAACATTTCGGGGGTCCCTGCTTCCTGTCACCATGTCGCTGTCCACCTCACTGAGCTCAGAGTGGAGACTGGGCTGCCTTAGCGAGAGCTAATGGACCCCTCCCAGGAGGAATGTCCCCGATGGTGGCCCGGATCTGGCGCGCCTGAGCGGCAGCCTGCGTGACAACAGTGGCCTCGCTGTCCCTGCGTGCCCGACTGACCTCTGTGTTTTCGTCCTCAGGTGGATACCCTTCGCCATGTTATCAGCCAGACCGGAGGATACAGTGATGGACTCGCAGCCGGTCAGATGTACAGTCCGCAGGGCATCAGCGTAAGAAAACAAGCCCCTGCCGGGCTCTCCCTGCCAGTTATTTCACAGCCACGGGGCTCGCAGAGACACCCAGTAGGACCTGTCTGGGCTTACAGTCACCTAGCTTCCTGTGTCTGTATTGACACCGTCGGCAGCATTCTACCCGCAAAAACAGTGGCGCTCGGCGGCTTTGCGCAGGCCGCCAGCGTCCGGGGCTGTCGCACACAATCAGCGTTTGCGTGGCACCTGCGGCCACATGCCCTCCGCGCGAGGAGCGGCTAAACAGGTGACACCTAGTACGGCGGTGGTAGGGACATGGCCACAGCTGGGCCTGGGAACCGGGGAAAGCTGGGAGCCGGTGCCCGAGGCATCCAGGTGTGTGTTCTTAGAAGGACGCCTCCCTCCGAGCCGTGGAGGGACAGTGAAAGACGCAATTAACAGAGAGGCGGGCGTGCAGAGGGTCGGGGCGAGTGCAGACCCTCTTCCGCTGGCCCTTGGGTCCCTGGTGGCTCCTGACTAGCATGAAAATTCGTAGCGACAAGCTGTGTCGCACAGAGTGGAATCGATCAGACAGACCCAGGAGAGCCGAGCGTAGATCTGGGACAGCAATCCAACTCGATTTCTCAGATCAAGCGTCCGCTGTCTCAGCGGTGGTGACAGCGCTGGACAGGACGCAGCCTGCCAAAGGAGGCCGTCCTTCAGACGAGGGTGGCGCCCGGCTTCTGGAGGTCACAGGAGGCCCCGGGTCGGGCAGAACCACTGGCTAAGATATGAGGAGAACTTGGTGGGCCAATGGGATGGTTTCTGTTGTGTTGTTGTGAGGATTGGACTGAATTGGGGGTGGAAGGAAGGAGAGGTGGGCACGATGCATAGCGTCATCCGCTGAGCTGATTGCAGTGCCACCTGCCACAAAGGAGGCGAGTCCAGTCACATGTGACTCAAACCAGAGGGGCCCCAGGAACCAGCCCTTCCTCAGTGAGGTGCGGGTGAGAGGCCAGTGAGTTCTTGGTCTAGACGAGAAGAGCCAGGGTCATGTGCTGGTTTTAGTGCGAGTCTGGGCTCACCATGAAGGATCTGCCAGAAGGGGGTCATGGGGTCCCTGAGGAGCACATCCAGAGAAACACATTTCATGCCCACACGGGGGGCCCAGTTCTCCCGGGTGGCTGCCCTGAGAGTCTCCAGCTCCCCACTGCAGCTCTCGGGCGGGGTCTGAGCTGCTGGGAGGGATGTTGGAGTCACACCAGGCTGAGTGTCTTTTATGGCCCTCCCACTGAGGACTTCTTTATTTTCTACCTTCTTCAGGCAGAATCCCCCTGAGTATATGTAACATTTACAAGACCCTCTGGGAGCAAAGCAAGAGGGTCAAAGCTGATCCCGTTCCATGTGCTCTGGGCAGTTGAAGGATTTCCAGAGAGAGGGATTCCTGTCTCCTTGTGCTCATCTGAGTTGTTATTTCCATGTTAATTGGTGAGTTGCCGGAAGGCTGCCTAGAAAGAGCAGGGATACTGTGATGGAGAAGTGTGTTCTCAGAAATGGATTTCAGTCCTAGCAGGTTTGGCTCAGTGGTTAGAGCATCAGCCCACAGACTGAAGGGTCCCGGGTTCAGTTCCACCCAAGGGCCTGTACGTACCTCAGTTGAAGGCTCCACTCCCGGCCCAGTGGGGTGGGTGTGGGAGGCAACCAGTCGATGTGGCTCTCTCACATTGATGTTTCTCGCTCTCTCGCTTTCTCCCTTCTACCCTCTGAAAAGCAGTGGAAAAATATCCTCGGGTACAGTTTTTAGAAAAAGGAAAGAAATGGCTTCCAGATGAATTAAGTGGCTGTGTGTTTCTGTGTGACTGCAGCCCATGTGCATTTACGCACTTCCTGACTCTTTTGAGATATCAGATAGATTTTTCCAGAAAGAGCTATGCTCTGTGCGTGAGTGTGGGACGGGAATATGGCACGCGCACAAAGGGAGCCGCAGAAAGTCTGCGTGACTGGGCAGGAAACAGGCTGACAGTTCTGCTTGTTGGCATCTTTCCTAACTGGGTAGCACGGCACTGGGACGCTGGGGGTCAGCACGGCCCCTCCACGTCATCTTGTGGGCTGGGAACCATTTCTGAAGCAGTGCAAGGGACATGTGCAGACAATTATGCCTGATTGCATAAGCCTGCCGCCCGCCCAGACGCTGCTTCAAAGTGGCACTTGAAAGAGCCTCTCGCTTTTCCCTGTGAATTGTGTTTATTTTGTTTCTGGGTCTTTAATATGCAGGGTAAGTGAATCAAAGTCTGGTCATGATAGGCTATGTTCCTTTGGCATCAGTTTTAAATTGTGCCACCTGCCTGCCGGAGACCGAGCTTGTTAGAGAGGGCGATGTCTTTTTAGGTGGTGGAATGAACCACTGGGACGTGTGTGTGTGAGTGGTGTGTGTGTGCGCGCCTGTGTTTTGTGTGTGTCCATGTGTGCACATGTTTTGTATGTGTGTGTGTGTGCGCGTGTGTGTGCATGCAGAGTAGGGCTGTGGCTGCCAGGAGAAGAAAGGGAGACAGAGAAGGAGGGCCTGAGACCAGAAGAGACAAGGACAGGAATGAAAGGTTCCAGCCAAGAAATAAAAATAAACAACTCAACCCAAGGCAGCGCTGGAACCCCAGCTGGGCTCCGGGTCGTGTTTCATCCACAGAGGACGTTTTCTGGGCAGCCTTCATCAGCTCCCCCGGCTGTGTTTCCACAGCACCCGTGTTGTGCAGCCAGCGTCCACTAACCCTGCACAGCCCACGCCACCTGCCTTTCGTGAGGCCGCCAGGATGGGCTGCGGGGCAGCGGGGGGACCTCTGGCGGCAGCCGGGAGCCTGGCCCGTATGCGTCCAGGGCAGGAGTGGAGCCTCTTCCGGACAAGGGGCCAGGGCCCCCCCCTTCACACCTCCAGGGCCGCGTTAGGGGAGTGAGAGTACGGGCGGGAGAGCCCTGGCAGAGTGTCCCTGGTTCCATTTGGCGCCGTGTGAAGCGTCCGTGATGTAACACGTATGTGGTGATACAGTGACAATGCTCATTTGTCCCTTTTCCTCCACTTGGGCGAGCAGTTGTCACAGGAGGTGGTTCCAGGGAGGCTGGTTAGGACGCGGTTGTCACCGTCTCTGCTCCGATGGGAGGTGTGCTTCGAGGTGGGGATAGCGCTGCCCCAGGGCCCTGCTGAGCAGCCGCGCGCGTCGCATTACACCCGCTTGTGCGCTTTGTGGTCTGAATGACAGCGGCCTCCTCACGGGGTAATGGGCGAGGTTATTCCAGGAGCCTGTCACACTGGCCACCACTTAGCTGCCACTCCCATTCTCCTGACCCCACTGTCGCCGTCCCAGTTCTAGAAACAGTCTGCTAGCTGGGCTGCTGAGACTATTTCCTAATTGCTGCTGCTGCCTCTCAACCCTCCTTTCTCCTGCACAGTCCTAGATTTTGTCACTTTGCGCAGAGACTGGCCTGTATGCTGCACACCTGGCCCCATCTACCTGTCTTCCCAGTAACCTTTGGATGCTGGTCAGTGTGGTCAGCTCAGCCCTCAGTATTTAATGACCAGTAGCCATTTCTTCTATTCAGCCTCAAAGTATCTAGCAATGATTTTTATTTTAAATGTTTACTAATCTGCAAATATATAGTCTTTTTAGTTTTAAAAGGTTCATAAGTCTTCTTTTTTATAAAGAGCTTTTAAACTTTTGGGGCAATGCATATTCTCTGGGAGTAAGATTTACATCGACAGTAAACATGGGAAGGTAAATGGTGGTAATACGGCCGAGAGAACCCTCCCTGAACCTCCGACTCCGATCCTGAGAGCATCCCCATCAAGACCAGGCGTGGGCGCCCATTGTGCAGCGACACAGTGCCGTTTCCGAGGGGGTGGTCACTGCTCTCCCCACAGGCGTGGGACTAGAACTGTCCATGGGATAGCATCACACCAGTTGTACCCACTTAAGTCAGTCCTGCCTTCTGCTCCATGAAGAAAAAAGTCACAGCCTCAAAAGGGCAGCTCGTTTTTGTGGTTGCTCCGGCAAGTGGCCAGGCCTCTCCAAACCTCAGTAAATAGTAAGCAGATTGACTCGGCTGATTTAATTGTGGGAGACGTTCGCATTGATTTCTGAAGGTGGCCCTCCTTTCTCCTTCTCGGAAAGAGGATCATGGTCTTTGGCAGGCTTGATTTTGCATAAAATAATTGACTACTTTCTTAGAAAAATTCAAGCATTGTTTTTAAATCTGGTACATTTTTAAAACCTCTACTTACCTCTGGCTTTGAGTTGGGGGCAATCTTTTCCACATTTCTGAATTTTAATATTTAGATCTCTAAGTGCTGTCCAGTGTGATGGAGAAATAAGGCAGGAGGCAGGACCAGCTGTGTCTGGAACAGCTAACCAGATGAGTGAGTGAAGAAATGCGTTACTCCTCTCAGTGTTCGTGGAGAGCCGTCTAGTGTCCAGCGCCAGGAACGCAAACATCAGTCGGGCTTGATCCTGGCTCCGCGGAGGCACAGGAAGCTCACAGGTGGGAGTTCCCTAGCTCAGGGCCTACTTCTCCGAAAGGGAAGGACTTCCCCACCCATATAGTCAATGTCATATTATTTTTTAAGAGTTTGGGGAGTGGCCATTATAAGAGGAACTTATAGCTAATCATATGCCCATCAACTAAAATTACATGCATAGCTTATAGACATGAGTCGACATTTGCTGTTCTTTCACAGATTTTACAAGTGGCTATGCCACGAGCATCGTTCCCGCTCAAACGTGCTGTCCGAAGGACTTCTTCCACGGGTAGGACTACTCTATTCCACTGCCATCCGATACGCTCACTGTTAGCCACACGTGGCTGCTGAGCACTTGAGACGTGGCTAGTGACCGAGAAAATGAATTTGCAATTGTACCTAAATTGAATGAATTGATATATAAATAGTGGTATGTGGCTAGTGACTACCTTGTTGGGCAGAGCAGTTTCAATGCCTGGCATCAATTAGTGGCCACCAAAGGTGGGACGATAGTGTCAGAGGTGACCACGCTGTGGAA